CAAAATATTGCAAAATTAACACAAACAAAAAATAAAATGATAAAAAAATAAACATTTAGCTTAAAATTTGAAAAAAAGTTCTTTGAGAAAATCATAATAGTATGCATATATATATTAGGGTGGTCCTTAAAACAACTTTTTAAAAAAATGTCTGCTCAACCACTCAAAATGTGTTCTATATAATAAAATAATACAAGAATTAAAAAATTTTCAAAAAAAAAAAAAAAATTTTCATGGGTAGCTCAAGACCCTTAAACAATAGATGGGTCTTTATAATTATCAAAAAAATAGTTCTTCAAAAGCATATCATGTTGGGTCTCAAAAGAGACAAAATTATATAAAAACTTCAAAAATAATCATTGTTTTATAAAAAACGTAGAAAAAAAATCTCATTTTCTAGTCAGTGAAATCTCTCTCTCTCTCTCTCTCTCTCTCTCTCTCTCTCTCTATATATATATATATATATATATATATATATATATATATATATATATATATATATATATATATATATATAGACACACACACACATATATATGATATATTTTATCTCTAAATATATTTTTTTATTGACTTTGTCAATTTCTGTACATATCCTTAGTCTAATTTCAAAACATGTAGTTTTATTGTCATAGCCCTGCTACCTGCAGTTTTGTTAGCAATTGGCATTGATATAAGGCCAAAATTTAGATCTTTGGTCTTAAGAATCTTTGTGTAGGCTTTGGTCCTGAAACTTATGGCCTTGACCTTGCTATTTTTGGCCTTATTAACAAATCTAATGGCTGATCACTGCTTTATTTATAGTCTTATTTACTACTTTTCAATATATGCTTTGTTTATATATGAATTGCTTTTAGTTAAAAGGGCGTAAGTCAAGCAGCGTTCGAAATAGTTTTTCAAAGCTTGCCGATCAAATGTATTTTTTTTTTAAAAAAAATGCTATTTTTCCTTGAATTTTTCGAAATTTCCCTAAAAATAGCCAATCATTGATCGTTGATCGGCCGTTATTTCGAGCGCTGGTCAAGTATTTTATCTAAATGAATTTTATACGGTTTTTTATTTTTTGAAGATAGACTCAATGATTTATGTTAGCAGGAAGTTTCTAACTATCCATAACGACACAATAAACTAGCAAATGTCTACACTTTCTGTTAAAGAAGCATAAGTCAATAAGAATTTTTAAAAATTTTTTGAAAACATACATACCACTACCACTCAGGGATAATCCTTTTAGCAGCACACTCGATCTAATAACCTCAGAAGAGGCAGGCTGCTCAATAGAAATCACTAGGTGACACCCAGATGATCTGCTCAGTGAGAATCTTTAACAGTATCTATAATAAGGGCAAATCTGTTATTCCTCCTTTTTGCATTGTTCAGATTTTGTTACCTTAACTAAATATAAAGCTGAATTGTTTGCTAAGAACTTTTTATCAATCTTATCTCTTGATTCCACTAATCACATCCTACCTAATATAGCCAACAAACAGGTTGACCCATTGCTTGACATTTGTATCATTCAAGTTTCTGTATCTAAAGTGATTACCTGCTTAGACTGTTCTACAGCTTGTACTTTGGACAACATACCTGTCTTGCAGAAGTGTTCTCCTGAGCTGTCGTCTTTACTTTCAAAACTCTGCAGAGCGATCTGACTTGTCCAACTACCGTCCGATGAATCTAATAACTTACTTTCTGATCATCAATATGGAGATTAATCTTCTTGTTCTACTGCTGATTTATTAATGGTAATAACTAATAGGTTTTATCGTATGTTAGATAGATGTGGAAAGACTAAGGCTATCACTCTCAACATTTCTAAAGCCTTTGATAAGGTTTGCATGCTGGTCTTTTACACAAGCTCTCTTCTTATGGTGTATCAGGTAACATTTTTAAGATTAAAATTTTTACCTGATACACCGTATCAGGTAAGAATTGAATCCTTTCTTACCAATCAAAGTATAAAAGTTGTCCTTGATGGAAAACATTCCTCTTCATTTCCTGTAACTTCAGGGGTTCCTCAAGGTTTTATCCTTGGCCCTATACTTTTTAATTTATATTAACGATCTTTCTGAAATTCTCACATTTAAGGTGGCATTGTTTGCTGATGATACTACCATTTTTTCTTGTCTTGATAAGAAGCCAACACTCTATGACTGCTTGAAGGCAGCCTTGTGGAGCCGATTGTTTTTTTTATGGCTCAGCTCTGGCTCTTAAGAAATCCTGCTCTAGATCGGCTCCTGGCTCGGCACCCATAACTTTATGAACAAAAATCGCAAGTTTTGAAATTTTTTTTTGATCACATTTTCCAACCCAAAACTATACAGATTACAGCAATTAATTTTTAACTAACTTTCATGATTACAAGGTTATTACTATTAATACTCTACTAAAGGATATTACATTTGAAAAGGAAATTTTTTTGGGTATATAAACATATTTTTCTAAATATTATTTACATAAAACTAGAGTATTTAGTTCAAATCTTAGTTCTAATTTTACACAGGTGGCACAGTATCTAAAAAAGACGTCTTTTGAATGTCCCAAAGACGTTCAAAGCGTTCAAAAGATGTCTTTCTTACATCCTCACTGAGTCCCGTAACCACTACCCAGTGGGCATGGGACCTAAAAAAGACGTATTTTGAACATTAAAAAAATGTCCAAAACATTCAAAAGAAGTTCAAAACACTCCAAAGACGTTTAAAAGACCTCTTTTGTATGTCCTGTGCCCATTGGGTAAAACATGCGATCGTTAAATTCAAAACCATAAAAAATTCAAAAAAATGAAAAATAGTTCAACTAATGCAAAAACTACAAAAAATATCTATTTTAATCTAAGGAACTTGAAGATTATAATAGTGCTTTTTATTTTAATATTTTTTACATTAATCAACAACATCAATTTCTGTCTTTGGAGATTTTTTTACCTACTAATATCCACTCTCTAATCAAATCTTTAGCTGTATTTATTGTTTTGTCATTTTTACGCAAACATCTTTTGCCATTTCCCAAAAATTTCTTAATAAGACAGAACTCAACTGACGGATTCAACCTTTTTGGTATGAACTTGATGTTTCTTGAATTGTATCACTCTTCTTAGAATAATGACAAGAAGCAAGATTAGGCCAGAACCAACAGGGAACATTGTGACTTGGATAAAATTTTGAAAATCTAGCTTGCAAGTATTCTTTGATGTAAATATCCAAGTTAAAAGTTGACTATGTGACAAAAGCTTGAGATCTCAAACCACAGCTGCATATTGCTTGCCAAATTTTAATCTTTAAAAAACTCTGAAACTTTATATCTTTTGGCTAATTCTCTGTTTGATAAGCCAGGGTTTTGCGTGAATGATCGTCAAATACTAATTGCTGCTTTCTTATCCTAAAAACCACTCTTTCTTTAAGATCCTTTTGCTCGATAGAGAGCTCTTGTATTGTTTTATGACCTTACAAACAGTAGCTTTGCTACATTCAGATACTTTAATGACCTTACAAACAGATTGAAAGTAATGATGCAGAAGGATTTTGTAAATAGTTGCGCAGAATTTTTTTTTTTTTTAAATGTTTCAATGGCATTTTAATTAAGAGAAACATTTTGACTCGTTTGTTGATGTTTTTAACTAATACTATAATTACTTAATGTAATTACGCAAAAAAAAAAAAAATTTAATAATGTGTTAGTGACAAGTTTTAAAATGAAATTCATTGTTCAAAATTTAACAATTGCATGCCTTAGTAGATATGAATAACCTTTGATCATTAAATTGCGCATCAAATATTTAACAGCATAGTATCAGTATAAAAATATAATATAAAGCATATTGCTTTATGCTTATGCATCACTGTAATGTTTCCATATATAATTTAATTTTTTTTTTTTGATAAAGCATATTAAGAAAAGCTATTAAAGGATAGTATTTTGTTAAGCTCAAAATTGTGAAAATATTTATTTTTATTATGTTTTAGCATGACTGTAACTGTTAGAAAAAATATTTTCAAAAAATAGAAGTTCAATAAATAATTCATTCAACAAATTAGTTAAACTATAAATGAATAAATTTTGTCTACAGTAAAAAAAAATAAAAAACATTCACAAACACTCTATTCCTTTAAAACAAAACACGAGCTGAGAGCCGCTCAATTTTTGCGGCTACGGCTTTACCAAAAAACAGCAGCTTCTTGGCTCCACAGCTTCGCCTCCACAAGCCTGCTTGAAGGGGATATATGAGCTTGAAAAAGATCTCACTTCTGCAACAACATGGGGCTCTCAGTGGCTGGCGAACTTTAACTCATATAAATTTCAATTTTTTCAGCTAATTGTTATTGCAACAAATTTCCTATATTTATGAACAGTAACGTACTCAATGAGTCATTTAACTTTTCCTCTTCTAGGATTAACTCTTACTTCTGATCTATCTTAGAAACTATATATCCATTGCAAAATTAGCATCTCTTTATTGTGCTCCCCACTTTCTTACACTGGATTTTATTCTTTATCTCTATATACTCTCAAATCAGTCCTTGGAGTGGATCTTCGAATGATACCATCTACTAAAATTTATTATTGTGTTACTGGTCATTCAATTAAGTCTCATTCTTTTACTGTGACTGTTCCTAAGTGCTCCAAAATTCTTTTTTGTCTAGTTTTTTCAATCGAACATTAGTTCTTTGGAATTCACTCCCTTCTTTTTGTTTTTCTGATTCATATAACTTGCAATCTTTTAAGTTATTTATTAATAATTATCTTGCTTTATAAACTTCATCTTTTCTCTTCCAATAACTTCCACCTCTAATAGTGGTTGCTTGCAGCCTTGTTGGAAGTGAAGATGTTAAAAAAAAAAATGATGTGCTATTTAATATAATGGTATATAGTATATGTTATATAATGGTATTATGAGAATACAGAAGTTCCTTAGTAAAAAATGTGTTTTCTTGGGATAGCAAATTAATAAAACTATTTTTAAAAAAGTAGAAAAGATAAAAACAGATAAAAATTTAAAGAACCTGGAGAGTTTTTTTCAGACATCAGCTCATCATCATTTAAACCATCTACAGCAACCATACATAAAAGATGAGATGATGAGACTATAAATTGATCAAGAGCAATTGAAGGGTTATTGGCATCGATTATTGTAATTTTACTACATGAATGAGTGCTTGTACCAATCCAAACTGTTGATATTGAAGGTTCTTTGAAATCAGCAGGTAGGCCTATAAAATTACCAGCAGGTGTTCGACCACCATGTAAAGAAATACCACAGGCACACCAAATCTTAAAAAACAAGTTATAGATATTATTTTTAAAAAAAATCCTTCATAGATCAAATCATTTAAAAGTTTGCTTGAAAACAGTTTAAAAAACTTAAATTTTTCTTAAAAAACCTTCATAGATGCTTCAGTGTTTAGGGGTCTGCAATAAACAGGAATTGGAATAGATGCAAGATCATCTTTATCTTCAGGTTCAGTTGTACCAGGTAGACTCCAACCATAAGCTTGATGTCTACCCTCTATTAAAATAAATATTAAACACTAACAAATATATTTTTGTGTCAAAAAATTGAAGCAATAACTCCCTTGAGAAAGAAAATAAAGAATACCTGAAACAATGTGTTCTTTGACATACTTATATCTTTCTCTTCTTTCTTGTCTTTGTCTGATGGTAAGACTAAAAAAAATAAATGAAAATTATTAAATTTTAATTGTAAGTTTTTTTTTTGTAAATTTATAACCTGTCAATAAACTTCAGTTTTTTTAAATATTAAATTATTTAAAATAGCTAACAAGCGAATTTAGAAGTGTTAATCTAGAGTTTTTAAAAGTGTTTATCTAGAGTTTCTGTAGAGTTGGCTCAAATCACTTCAATACAAAAAAAAAAAAAAAAAAAAAAAAAAGAATGTTCTTTTTATTAAAAGAAAATTAATAAACAGAAAAAAAAATTTTTTTAAAAAATTAAACTTTTTAGAGATATTTTACATAACTAGCCTTAATTTTGTTATATTGTCAACTTGCTTCTTTTCTCAGCAGCCTTGTTCATCAAGCTTCTTGTTTCCAAATTAATGACTTGAGAGAGGGTTGTAACCAGGGCCGGATTTATCAATAGGCTGACTAGGCCACGTCCTAGAACCCCGTGATTATAGGGGCCCCAATATGTTGAAAAATTTCAGAATTTTTTGAAATTATTGTAAAAATTAACTAAAAATGGAAATAAAAATATACTAATTATTTTTATATCATGCTTTACATAGTTGTCTTTTTCACACATTCTCAGTCCCAATATAAAATGTCATAAAAACAGAAAATTTTAGCTATAAAAAGGGCCCCAAAACATAACCCATCCAAGGAGAAGTGTAAATCCTGCCCTGGATCTAAACATTATTAAAAAAAAAAAAAAAAGAACCTCATTTTGACAAGACAAATAACATAAAAAAAATTATATATAATAATAATAAATAGATTTTTTAGTTTAAAAATTATAAACATATAAAGTTTAATTATTGGAGTTAATTAGGGAATAAAGAAGTATTATATTAACTTATTAACATAAAAAATTTTTATGAAATTTTCAATCTGATAATTAGTTTTTACTTAATGAAGTACATAATCAAAGTATTATTATTTTTTTAAATACTTATATAATATTAATCATTTTTTAATTATTAATAAATATGTACTTGTATAATATTTATATAATATAATCATCGTTATTTATATAATAATTATCGTTATATAATATAAATAATAATTTTTTAAATACTTATAAATATATATTTATATAATATTAATAAACATTTTTTAAAAGGAAATATTTTGCGATAACATTTGAAACAAAATTGAAAACATGAAAAACCAAATTTTGTATTATTTAATATTCCAGGCTCAGATTTTTTTTGATAACAATAGTATACAAATTAATTTCACACTTGAAACAAGTGGAGCACAATTTCTTGTTTAATATTGTTTCAAAATCAGATATTTTCTAGTGATGTTTTAGTCTGATTTGAAAAGATCGTCATCAGACCTAAAATGCCAATTTAAAACCATTAAAAAAGAAAATATAAATATCTCCAACTATTTGAAGCAACTTTTACCCTGTTATCTCTGTTCATAGTAAAGGGGATTGTTTAATCTACTAATATGTTGGTTCATAATTAATTTCAAGCAATTTCATTATTTTTCTTTTATGATAGTTGTCATTAATAGAAAAAGTTTTTGGATGCAGCTAGTCAGATATGGCATATTTTGTTATATTCAGTTGCTCGAGAAACATGTCAATTGCCATTCATGCTATTAGTTTGGTGTTCTATGTTTCTTTACAAATTATGTGTGTGTGTATATATATATATATATATATATATATATATATATATATATACACACACATAATTTGTAAAGAAACATAGAACATATATATATATATTAAGAAAAGAAACCTACCCAGAACAATATATTTTGTATCTGAAATATTTTTTCTAGACATGGTGCAAACACCAAACTTTTTTGTGGTCGTATTTAAGGATGTTTTACCAGAAAAATCTTGGTAATTAGAGCTTAGAAAAAAAACAAAAACTTTTGTTCCAACTTACATAATTTACTCCAGATGTAATAAAAACAGAATTTTAAAAAACTTTTAGAATTTTTTTTTTTTAGAATTTAAATACTCAAAAGAAAAAAAAAAGTTTTTTAACCCCAAATCCTACTATCTTGATGTATAATGTTTATGTAAAAATTCTATACAATTTTAGCATGTTCTGACCAATTGGGCATCTACTCAAATTCATAAGTTATAAATTTAACATGGCCACTACTAAATTTTAAATGATTTTAAAATGAAACTCGAATTTTATCAAAGATGAAAATGTTTTTTATTAATGGTTTTTTTGATAATAGTAAAAACAAATTGTTTAAAATAAAAAATAACAGAATATATATATTTGTTTTAATATAAATATATTATTTTATTTAAATTTTTTTTTTCTTAATACTGTTTAGAAATATCTCATGACTGCAAAGCTACCCATAGCTTAAGCTGTCGCAGAAAACCGGGATGGTTTTAATTTATGACCTACTTTAAGATTTAAATTTTATCAAAAAAATTTTGAAATTTGTTTTTTAATTATTTAAGCTAATTATTTAGTTTAACATAAATAGTATAAGAAATGTTTACTACATGTCAACATTGTTAAAAACTACAACCATCCAGATTTCTTGAAATATTTGGGAACCCTTAATAATATCATTTAGTATTTTCTAAATGCTTTACATGATTATTAAACTTGAGTTTAAAAAAAAGTTTTTTAGTTTAAAGATTAAAAAAAAGTTTAAAAACTTCATATAAAAAGTTTTTAAGACGCGTTAGAATTTTTTGCTTTCCTTCTTTTAATTTGCGTAACTTTAAACGTTTACAAGTTTTTCAATTATCTTGTTAAGCATGATTCAAACTTTTCAAACTTTGATAGACAAACTTTTAAAAAAAAAAGTTTCTTTTTTTAAATAAAAAACGATCAAAAAAAAAAAAAAAAAAAAAAAAAACGTTTTTAAATCATAATTTTTTTTCTTATAAAAATAAAAACTCGGAACCACTTTTACTTTTTTAAATTAGTGCTTTAATGATGGATAAAACTTTGAGACGTTTGTTCTTTATACTGAAAAAAAATCTAAAAAACATCGCAAATGTGAAAACACATCAAAAAAGTTAAAGTCGCAAAAATCAAAAAAAACCAATGAAAATAGAATTACAAATGTCCACTTATGGCGTTTTTCTCAAAAAATAATCAGCGTAAAACAATTAGCTTGAAAAATAAAAAGCACGAAACGTTTCGCAATGCAATTCAGTGCAAAATGACTTTAGTGATTAAATTGTACGAAACACTCGTTTTAATTTTTTTAAACGTTAACTTTGAAAGTTACTTTTATGTATTTATTATTGGAATTTATATTCAGTTTTAATAAATTAATACTTTAACTTTAAAATTAATACTTTAATAATTATTTTTAAATTAGTATTTAGTTTAAATAAAATTCATACTTTAACCATTACAATCCATGTTTTAAATAACTCATATTCATAAATACAAACGGTTTAAACATAAGTTACATAACCTTAATGTTCTAAAATCAGAATTCGCACAACAAAGTTACGTAATATAAACTAAAAAATCGTTCATGCTGGTTATTAAAGCCATTTATTCTATATATTTTAAATTCGTAAAACAACAATAAAACAAAAAAGCGAGTTTTTTTTTATTTTTTTATTTTAATATTTAATATAAATCTTTTAATATTACCAAATCAACTGACGTTGTTTTAATGTTGTTTTATACAGTTTTTAACACTAAAAATATAAAACGGGTTTAAAATGAAGCGTGTTGTGTTTTCAGTATTAACAGTTCAGTATGAGTGTAATAGTAAATAAGTTATACAATTAAACTTATAAAATTAAAGTTATACAATTAAACTAAGAATTAAAAATTTTAAATTACGCGGAGTTATAAAAATAAAACTATAAACTGTCTAAAACCAGGAAAAACTGTTAAGGGATCGTCCATAAATTACGCAACGCAAAAAACATTTTAAGAACAGAAGTAGGAGATATTAAACTCTTTTATGCGGCGATTTTCATATAACTTAATTTCCTATTTTGATTATTTATTTAAATTAAGACTCTGCGAGGGAAAACTTTTGATCTTTTTTTGTTTTGTTTATTGTGAAATTTTGCGTTACGTAATTTATGGACGATCATTACGTTATTTGAACCCCCCTATCGCGCCGGCCTTGTATATAAAGAATAACAACAATATACAATTTATAATTATATGTTGATGGATCAGGTCCAACAGTAAAACATTTTAACTATAAAATATCGAAAGTTAAATTCTCACAACGTAAAAAACATCAGATAATTCTCATGCGAATTGTTGCATTGGAGTCGAAAATCATATTTTCAAAAAAATAATAATAAAAACGACTCAGACTTTTCAATAAAACGATAGCAACACAGTTATATTTGTACTTTTCCATATTAGTTTTAGTGATAATAGCAACTATGGTAAAGAGTTGTCTTGAAAATCATTTAAGCCCGTTTTCCATTCAGAACTTTTTGCGCTTTGGGGAAGCGGAAAAGTTATTTGAGCATGCGCAAAGAGTTTTTTTAAACCCGTTCTCCAATCAGATCTTTTTGCGCATGCTCAAATAACTTTTCCGCTCCTCCAAAGCGCAAAAAGTTCTGAATGGAGAACGGGCTTTAAAGACAAGGCGTAGGAACTGTGTGAATTATGAGACGTACAAGATAGTGTCCTAGTAAATAGGGGCAAGAGGAGGGGATTAAGAATCTTTTAATAATTATAACAAGTACTTTTACAACGAGAGTCTTAAGATTAACTTTTATTAGTATTAAGATAAGTACTAATTAGAAAGTGAAAAAAATCTAAAGCGCATAAAAAACTTTATAAAAATCTAAAGCGCAAAGTGAAGAAAACTTTATAAAAATATTTTGAAAAAACATGTAGATAACTTTTTACAAACATCATAAAACCATATGATGTGATGAACCTTTATTAATTGAGGTGAAAGAGTACGTCTGATATATTCAAATTATTATTTAGCGCATGATATATTCAAGTTATTAAGAAGATACGTTTTATATATTCAAATTATTAAGAAGATAACGATCTAAACATTTTGTGTATGTTGCAGACCTGTAGAAACAAAAACTATATGGGGGGGGGGGGGGGGGCAGTATTACCCCGAAATAGTTCTGAGGACCATTTTTTCAGTTAATTTCTTTAGGCAGTAGGTCAATTATAAAAGTATGGTGACACTAAATTTAAAAAAATATCATAAAATGTTGGGTTAGTAGGTTAAAAGCGTAGATACTTTTAGGGAGGTAGAGAGTACTCATAAAAAAGGGTACGGGAAATTGCGGGAGGGGGGGGGGGGAAGTAGCGAAAAAAAAGCGCACGTACTTTATGGACGACCACTTATGATAAATGTAAAGATTTAAAAATAAAAATTTATAGTAGATATAACAGTAACGGCAATTCATTTTTTAACAATTTTAAAATGTCTGGTCCTTCTTCAACAATTATATTAGAGATTTTAGATAATTAGTAGAGGAAAAATACCTTTTAAAAAAATTAACTACAATTGTCACTTCGAATTTCGGAAAATTCAAAGCTAATATGTTGTGATGGCAATACAACAATCTCTGGTAGTTCTTGTCGCACATGCACCTTGACATCTGAAGTCTTAATTCTAACTTAGCTGCCATACAGGCATAAAAAATAGTGGTATAAAGAATAACCCTTTTCTACACCAGTTAAAAGTCATATCTTTAAATTTTTTCTACCTTTCTATTAAAAATCTTTAAACTTGATTGGTGACAATAAAGATATGATTTTATTATACTATTCTTTGGCTTTTGTTAAATAAGCCAAAGTAATTCCCAAAATTTTTTTTTATGCATGTAAAGAAACTCTTATTTTGATTCCATATTTTACCTCTATGATTCCATACTTTACCACTATGACTCCATACTTTACCACTATGATTCCATACTTTACCACTATGACTCCATACTTTACCACTATGATTCCATACTTTACCACTATGACTCCATACTTTACCACTATGATTCCATACTTTACCACTATGATTCCATACTTTACCACTATGATTCCATACTTCACCTCTATGACTCCATACTTTACCACTATGATTCCATACTTTACCACTATGACTCCATACTTTACCACTATGATTCCATACTTCACCTCTATGATTCCATACTTTACCACTATGACTCCATACTTTACCACTATGATTCCATACTTTACCACTATGACTCCATACTTTACCACTATGATTCCATACTTTACCACTATGACTCCATACTTTACCACTATGACTCCATACTTTACCACTATGATTCCATACTTTACCACTATGATTCCATACTTCACCTCTATGACTCCATACTTTACCACTATGATTCCATACTTTACCACTATGACTCCATACTTTACCACTATGATTCCATACTTCACCTCTATGATTCCATACTTTACCACTATGACTCCATACTTTACCACTATGATTCCATACTTTACCTCTATGACTCCACACTTTACCACTATGACTCCATACTTTACCCCTATGATTCCATACTTTACCTCTATGACTCCACACTTTACCACTATGACTCCATACTTTACCCCTATGATTCCATACTTTACCTCTATGACTCCATACTTTACCACTATGACTTCATACTTTACCACTATGATTCCATACTTTACCTCTATGACTCCATACTTTACCACTATGACTCCATACTTTACCACTATGATTCCATATTTCACCTCTATGACTCCATACTTTACCACTATGACTCCATACTTTACCACTATGATTCCATACTTTACCTCTATGACTCCATACTTTACCACTATGACTCCATACTTTACCACTATGATTCCATATTTCACCTCTATAATCCCACTCTTTATAAGTGTTTTATTCCACTTAACAAAATATTATTGTCATATTTAAGCTGATACTTCTAATGATACCCTCTCTCTTTTAAACAAGTTCCAAAAACGCATTGTAAATGCTGTTGGATCTGATCCAGTTGTCAAGCTTGAGCCTCTATCTCATCGTATGTTGTATTTCTTTCTTTTTTTAAAAAATACCTCAATAACCTCATACTATCTACAATTTCAAGAGAAGATCTAAGTCATGTAAGAATCTAAGTAATTTGTTATATTTATAATTTTGTTTTCAATATTTTGACTAACTCATTCTCAAGTATACTATCATAAAATTAATATAATAAAATGTGAATATTTTTTTAATACAGGATTTTACAACTAGATTTTAATAAGAACTCAATAGCTATAATGAGAAAGCAGTCTCATTCTTTAGTTTTGCATTTTTGAGAAAAAAATTTAATTCTTAGATAGCCATAAATGGTAAGAGATTTCGCTTTAATAAAAGTTTCATAATAATAACTTTTTTTTAAAGGTGAAAAACTATTATAAACTCAATCATAAGAAAGAAAAAACAAAATTTATTTTTAATTAACTGCAAGAACAACAAAAAAGAAAAATTTATAACACAATACTTTTTCTCCTGTGCCGCCATGCAAATAGTGCATATACATTATAGTACACACACTTAAAATCTCATATGAAATATACATGTAATAAATGTTCAATAAAAATCCCTAAAATTTATAAACTGCTCTTTAAGATTTTATTTATATAGAGTTTTATATTTATATTTTATTTTATATTTATATTATATTTATATTTATATTTTATTTTATATTTTATTTATATAGAGTTTATATAGAGTCCTTTATTAGTTTTAATATTAAACTTATTCTATAAATCTATTTTTTCTGATTTTTTTAGTTCAAAGAAAAGTTGGCTAGATCTTTTAAGAGGTCTCAACTTTCTTGAGACAGGACTTTATTCTAATATGAAATTGTTTCAGATTTCTTGACTACCAGATCTTACCATAGACCATTCCTTTTAGAATACCCCAAAAAACATCAATTGGACAACATTCTGGTATGTTTGATAGGTTATCAACCTTTGCCACATATTTTATGGAATTTTTTTTAAAGAACAGCATCAGTTTTGGATTAATGTGAAAAAGTAGGTCAGGTCAAAATAAGTATGGATCATCTTTATGATATTCTTTAATAAAGACACTAATCACTTCTTGATGTAATGTTTTAAGTTAAAATGTTGGTTAACTGCTAAAACCACTCGGGAAAAAATGCGGTTTTGACACCCCCTTCTCAAAAATCCAAAATTATTTTTTGGAAAAATTTTGCAGTTTTTCTATATTTTATTCGGAGTTTGTTAAATAAATTTTAATTTTTTAAAAATTTAAAATTATTAATTAATAATATTGGTATTGATTGTGCTGTGAGCCAAAGTGAAAAAAGATTCATCATAAAAATGAACAATTTTCCTTTCAAATTCTAATCTATCACATATTTTGCAAAGTCTTTTTTGCTGGTCATAATTTTGCACTGGTATTCTTTTTATTTGACGGTAACTAATGCTGGTCTTTTTTTAACAATTAATCATTGCTGTTCTACACTGCAACTATTTTTGAGCAGTCTGCTTTTAGAAAACTCCATTACATTGAGGAAACATGATTTTGAGGGGCTTTTTTTTTTTCCCAGCAACATGACCTTTAAATCATTATATATAATATAAATATACAATTCATGAAGCTTTATCAAAATCAATTACTTATAAAAAACCAGAGGGTGTAAGAGGGAATCAGAGTGAGAATAAATGAAGAACCTGAGTAAGAATAAATGAGAGTAAATGAAGAACCTGAGTAAGAATAAATGAAGAACCAGAATGAGAGTAAATGAAGAACCAGAGTGATAGCAAATGAAGTTGAGATAGATGTATGTGAATACATAGGAAAATTTAAAATTTTGGGTAGGAGAAAAAATCTTCAAGTTTGATGGTTAAAAATAAATAACTAAATTTCAGAATAATATTTTGGTAAGCTTGAGAGATATATTAGTAGGTTTGAGAAATATACTAATACTCACCCTTCATATGCAAGTTCAGGTTGAAACTTTGATGCAACTGAAAATGATCCTGTAGTACTAACTGTACTGTTTTTTCTTGAAATTGATACTTCATCATCACTTCCGAACCATGACTTTGAATGAGGAATAGGTTGACTGATAGATAACTTTTTTTGTGCTGAACTTGTTGGATTTGGACCAGTAAACAAATTACTAAACCTATTTAAAAATATGTACTCAAAATAAGAAAACAATAAAATAAAGTCTCTACACTAAAACAAAAAAAATTTAATTATATAAAATATACTTTGTTATGACTTTGTATAAGGCATAAAACACAAATACAGAGATAAAATACACATAAATTCCTATTATAAAATACCCAATAACTTATTAGTAAACAACACAACACAACTTTTTAACAAACAACATTTAACAAATTTTTAAAACAGACAGATGTTGTCACTAGAATACTTGCATTTAATGCAAACATACATATGACAACACCTAATTTGCAGTTAGGTGTTGTAGATGGTTTTAGTTTACGCAACACAAACAAGCACATAGATCAGTTCTGTTATAAATTAGTAAAACCTTTTTTTTTTTTTGTTTACAACACAATTTTCCCTGGTTATACAACTAATAAACATCTTTTCCCTTGTTATACATCAAACATTATCTTTTCCCCTGTCATACACCAAATAATATCTTTTCCCCTGTCACACAACTAATAACACTTGTAGCCTACACTACTTTAAGAATGCTTGATATATATTTGCTGAAAATTTTTGTGTTTTTGCTCCTATGATGCACATAAAAAAAAAAAACTCAAAACACTAATATTAGTTTATTACCTTATTGTGCACTCTTTAAAGTAAAAAATTAATAATATATATATATATAATTTGGTATAAATTTAAATAGACATACAACTTCCATATAGATGATTTCTTTTTTTGTTGTAATGCAGCAATATGATTTTCTTTAGATGCTCTAAAAAAATCAACAAACGAAATTATTTTAAAATTTAAATTTTAATGAAATTAAAATTAACAAAACAAAACAAAAACAAACAGAAAAAAAAAAAAAAAAATTATACATTAATAACTTAAAAAGTAAATTTAAATTTTATATTAAGTGCAAGCTTATACTTTATCTTAACATTAACTTATTAAAATTATATTATGAATAAAAACACCGAATCATTTCTGTCCAGCGTACTGCTTCTTGTAGTTCCATCAACCTCTCTTTATATTGGTTTCTTTCCATTAAAACTTTTGCCATTTCAACACGTGTGAAACGTTTCCGATTTGCTGAGGATATTCTCTCCTAATAAAATGTTTTAAAATACATACATTATATATATATATATATATATATATATATATATATATATATATATATATATATATATATATATATATATATATATATATATATATATATATATATGTACCCTATTGGTGGGGTGCCTTGACACAAACTTGACACAAACTAATTTTACTTTATATAGTCTCACAGGTTTAGCTGTTATATTTTGGCAAGTTATAAATTTCATTTTGTAGGTATATATTTATTCTACAAATTAAACTAATGAAAACCCAAATATATATTATGGTGTGTCACTCTCCTTTAAGTAAATATATACTTTTATTTCGTATTTTATTAGTTTGGTAAAAGTTTCTTTTGATTTAAAATCTTAAAGTGGTAGTATAGTAATTAAAAAAAAAAAAAATAATAAATCAACTTTTTCATATATATATATATATATATATATATATATATATATATATATATATATATATATATATATATATATATATATATATATATATATATATATATATATATATATATATATATATATATATATATATATATATATATATATATATATATATATATATATATATATATATATATATATATAACTTTATATATATATATATAACTTTATATATATCATTATAGATAGACCTATTTGACCAGAGTTTTTTAAAATACATATTTTGTCTTCCCATAAAAAATAACATTTACTAATGCAGAGATTAATTAGTTTATGAATGTCTACTAAAGATAACTTAGTTTGTTGTATTAAATTATCCCTATCTTTCTTAAGCATATCAATAATTGTAATAGTTGCTTTATCAAGTGGTACTGATGGGGATAAATTAATAACATCAAATGATAATTGAACTTCGTCATTAATAAACCATTCTTTTGCTGTTGATACAAATGAAGATGAATTTTTAACACGGCATTCATTTTTATTTACAGTTGGTTGTGTGATCTCAACAAGATGTTGCAAAAGTTTATGAGGTGGTGTGCTGATTGTTGAGACTATTATTCGCATTGGATAACCTTTTTCACTTTTGTGTGCTTTAATACAACCATACAAACAGGGCGGAATTGCATCTGAAGGATATATTTTGCCATATGTTTTTTTATCTAATTTTTTATCTTTTTTTAATTTACTATGGGTACGTTGAATAAGAAACTTCTGCGTTGGATCAACTGCAGATATTGCGGAATTACCAAGTTGTTCTTTTATTTTTTGTATTGCTAAGTCTGAATTTAAAATAGCAAACCCATTACCTTTATCAAAAGGATATAACTTTATGTTGGTTGAATTTTTGAGTTCATTGATAGCTAGACGTTGATTTTTAGAAATATTACTATCAATTTTCATTCTTAAATATTTGGTTAATGTTTTGCTGACATTTTGTTTTAAAAATTCTGCTTTTTCTACGTTCACATTTTTTTCAATATTTAAAGCGCATTCCTCAGTCGATGTTATAATATCAATAAATGGTATTTTATTTTGTGTTGGAATAAATTGCAGTCCAAGACTTAATAAACTTTCCTGTTCACGTGAGATTGATACATTCGAAAGATTTAATATTGGATTTTTTATAAGGTTAGTAGGTGGTATTGAAATAATATTCAAAGGATTAAATTTTTTTAATTATTGTTCTTTTTAGAATTGATAAGAAAATTGAACTTATGTATAAGGTGTTGTTTTGTTTGTTCAAATTTAATTTCTCTTGATTTATCAGTTATGTGTTCTATGTTTAACATATCCTCAGGTTTCATAATATTTTTAATTGCATTCGATAGTTCGATGACCCTACTGTTTGCTCTGGTTAAATCTTTTTTTAGCGCCATTTTTTGCAATAACTAATAGTTTTTTTCTATATTCGACCATTAGATTGTAACCATTTTTTGTTTTAACTGGACAATGAATGCAAAAAGATTTAAGTATGATATTATTTTTTATACATCTCTCTGAAAATATCCATTGGTTTTTGCTAGCAGCGTTCTTGGTCTTTTCTACTTGTAATTGAACGGTATTCTTGTAAAGCTTCCCACTGTAGGAAGAAGTTATATAAAATTTAAGTGATATCTTTAATAGTATGTGTAATTATAAGCATTAAAACATCATATACGGTATCATACTATTTATTTCTTTTTTCTATAAGTGATATTTCGGCTCATATAGTGAGAGCCATTATCAAACGGTTGAAAAAAAAACGTTTAGAAAATTATAATAAACGTAAACAAATGATGTCATTGCAACGTCAGATTTCAACATTTTTTAATTTTAGAAAAAATGGTTTCCAATGGTGAGTCATCACCAAATTGCCATTGTCGTGATTTAAAACATTTTCTTTAGGTTTTGAACATTGTACACATTGTATTTGAATAGCCTCACGAATTTTTCTGGTGTAGTTGTTTGAAATAATAGAAAGCATTTTAGGGTTCTCCCAGTTTATTTTGCAATTAAAATGTTGAGTGTTCTATTATTAATGATGTTTTCCAGTTGGCTTTTGTAACATTATTTTTATGTTCTTGAATTCGTGTGGAAATTTTTTTTCTTGTTTAACCAATATAACATGCACCACATGTGCAATTAAGTTGGTACACTCCTGGATGACTATTTGAAGGCAGTTTAGACTTGTAACGGTAAAGTAAATTGATTAAGGGATTACCAAAACGGAAGACTGTTTTAACGCCAACTTTATGAAATTCTCTTCTAAACACAAGGTCTAACTTTGGGACCCATGGTAAAATAACTAGATTTTTGGTATCAAACTTTTGAGAACAAGATGGATTTGTGGAGTATTTATAATTTTTAGCAATATCTAAATACTGTTTATAGGAATGTCCATTTTCAGTAAAAATCTTAATAAGAAAATTAATTTCATCCTGAATGTAATGTTCTGAACAAATTTTGTATGCTCGAGCTAATAAACCTTTACAAGTCGTATATATATATATATATATATATATATATATATATATATATATATATATATATATATATATATATATATATATATATATATATATATATATATATTTAAACAATTTAAAATGTATTCTACAAAAAGAGTGCTCAATGTTCTTAAAAGAACAGAGCAATTACAAATTAGTAGAAAATCACTTAGCAAAATTTTTTCTCATTTTGAAATGAGAAAAAATTTTGCTAAGTGATTTTCTACTAATTTATATATACATATATATATATATATATATATATATATATATATATATATATATATATATATATATATATATATATATATATATATATATATATATATATATATATATATATTTAAATGTGTAATAAAAAGATTTATAATCTTTTACTTATTAATTGATTAAGGTACAAAACTGGGGTAAAGGGCGACGGAGATTTTTCAGCAACCATTATAGCTTTTTAATTGAAATTTTGGCTAGTGATATATTACATGTGGCATTACATTGTGGATTAAAATAATTAATTAAGGTCTAAAAAATCAAAAAATATTACCATTTTTGTACATTCAGGGCAAATCAGGGGTATTTCAGGACACAAAATCTTAAATAAATACTAAACTTAAATAAATACTAAATAAAGATAATTCAAAATTCATTTTTATATGTTACACCTTCCAATGTTTTATTTTGGTCACAAAAATCTTTATGTGTTGCTTTTAACTTCTTTATTTTGCTTTAGGTTTTTGTTCTTCAACTTTAACGACTCGTTTAGTGTCCTTATGTATTCAATAATTTTGCGCATTTATACCAAATGTCATTCCAAGTTCAATAAACAACTAATCTAAAAATTGTTGCCCATCATTAAAATTTACCACAAATGAGGCTACTCCAATACTTAAAGCAGTTCTTTCAATAAACGCATCTTTTAGACATTGCTTCCATATTAATTGATTTAATGACTCATTGGGAGTTTACATTTTACTGTGTAAAAATTTTTCAAGAAATTCATCAGAACTAATATCTTTAAATATTGGTTTGATGGCATCACAGACAGCTACAGAAATACAAATATTTTTGTTATATGTCATTTTTCCAGTCAGTTTGTCAGCCAGGAACTTGCACCATGAATCTTGAGAGTGCTAACAAAACTGATGACATTTTTCACAATTTTCAGAACAGTGAAAAAGTACAGCTGCAACACTCTTTTTCATTACATATAAATTTCCAACGTTTTGCCTTAATGCCTTGCCATAATAGTTTTGCAATGTATTGATAACATTTTTAGTTAAGCGACCTGCTCTCCTAACTTTTTTCCAGCACATAAAATTTTCTTCACTATTTTTTTTTAATTTCTTAGACGAGTACCAACAAATTTTTGAATATGCCCAAATCTCCATAAGGTTTTCAGTAACATATGAACTGGTATCTCCATCACCTAGAAATGTTGTATATCTTAAATTATTTTTTTTTCCAAAATGCAAAAATATTTTTATTACACCACTTAATTACATAGAAGAAGCTGAACCAGTATGACTGATTTTACATTTTTGATAATGTAAGGAATAAAAGTCATTATATTCTTTAGGATGTGAGTATTTCTTTAAGTTCCACATTAAACACAACTTACAAGTTTTTGTTTCTATTTCATAGTCAATACATTTTCTACTGCAGCAGCTGTTATTACTATATTGTTTGAGGTATATCCACATTTCTGCCATGATCCATCAAACCCACATATAATATCCTCAGGTTTTAATTCTTCAGCTGCATTTTTAATGCTTTTATCAACCAAACTTTGATAAACATCTAACAGTATGTGCAATGTATCATTATAACTATTTTTATTCATTGGCGAATACATATTCATAATTCCACAAAATTTTTCTAATGCTGACAATTCCTTACCCATTTCACAAAATGCAACTACTACACGAGTATTAATGTCAAATGACGTCCAACACAATTATGTTTAACAAAATTATTTTGTTTGGCATTTTAGTTCTTTTTATTAATAGAAGATGAAATATTTTTTTTTCCATTTCGCAACCATTGCAACAAATTTTTAGTCCAATACTTAGACCATATTCTTCGGAAGAATAAAACTGCAAATTAACTAACTCATCACATTCTGGACATTTAAGAAGCATTATTGCTTTTTTTAGTAAATTAAAGCTTATAATAAAGTTTAAGTCTTCAATTATATTTTGAGGATTCTATATAATTGCATTGTTGAACAACTTCTTGAAAGATGATGAACATGGAACGCTGTCAACTAAAGGTACAGCAGTGGTTTCATTGAAATGACAAACTTTTTTATATTTGTTTCCATTAAACTTTGATTTTTTATTTTGGTATAATTTTTTTGATAATTCTTTTTTTTTCGAACCCCCATAGTATTTTTATTTTAATAAAATATTATAATAATTGACTGCTGTAAAGTTTGTTAAGAGCATAAAAAGTAACAAAAACTTAGACAAAACATGTTCGCATAAATCGAGTCAATAAACAAGAAGCAGTAGCTGGATTACAATGTTCATATTTTACCTTTGGCAGAGAGATAATTATATTGCTTTTTGTACAGTATACTATAATTTTTTTTTTTTTTTTTTTGTAAAAGCCTGTAGCAACAGAATAAACAAAGCATTGCATCGAATAATTTAAAACAAATATTAAAAGTGGATACCAAGGTTTTTTTTGTAAAACCAGAACAAATTTCAGTCAAAAAATGAATTTTTGAAAAAATGAATTTTTCAATTTTAATTACTGTAATAACCCTTAATTACTTTTAACTAAAATTATTTTTCTTGCCTGCTCCCTAAGCACAAGAGGAGAGAAAAAGATTTAATGGAAATGGCTAAATTTATTGTAAGAGCCTTGAACTTCAAAAAACACAGTGTTTTGGTTAGAGATGCTTATGTTATTAACATGATTAGATTATTAAAAAGGTAAATCTGCGCATCTAAAAAGACAAATTTTTTTCCAAACATCTTCACTTCCAACAAGGCTGCAAGCAACCACTATTAGAGTTGGAAGTTACTGGAAGAAAAAAGATGAAGTATGTAAAGCAAGATAAGAATTAGCAGACGACTCAGGAAAACAAGATAATGGGAACAATTTGCACAGAACAGATAATTGAGGGAAAAAACTAAATGAATAAAATTTTTTGGAGCACTTAGGAACAGTCACAGTAAAAGGATGAGACTTAACTAAATGACAAGTAACACGAGAATGAATTTTAGTAGATGGCACATAAGACGCTAGCTCTTTAGAGCAGCGCCTATTATAGTATTTATAGAAAAAAGAAAGAAAAGCAACATAACAACAATGTGACAACAGATAAAGGTCAGCTGCAAGAGCAGGTATGTTTCTAACTATGTTTACTATGCATTTTTGTACCTTGCCTAAAAGAGAAAGGGCATCATTCCAACATCCGCTCCATATATAGCAACAGTATTCCATACAAGTACATTTGAGATTTATAGAGAAAAAGAATAGAATCTGGAGTAAGAAAGTGGCGAGCGCAATAAAGAGATGCAACCTTAGCAGATGCTAATTATGCAATGGATTTGATATATAGTTTCCAAGAAAAATCGGAAGTAAAGGTTAACTCTAGATGAGGAAGAGTAGATGACTCATCAAATTACAGGAAAATGAAGAAGAGTGCTGTCCATCAAGGGCAACTTTTATACTATTATTGGTAAAGAAGGGTTCAATAATCTTGAAAACCTTACCTTATATACTGTAAGAAGAGACCTTATTGAGATGACTAGCATGCTAAACTTTATCAAAGGCTTTAGAGATATCAAAAGCGGTAGCCTTAAACTCTCCACATCTATCTAATGCACAATAAAACCTATCATTTATTACCAATAACAAATCAGCAGTAGAATGAGAATATCAAAATCCATATCAGATCAGAAAATAAGTTATTAGATTCAAGATGAGAGATTAACTGATTGTTAAAAAAAAGACTCAAAAACCTTGCTTATGATAGGAATAAACAAAATGGAAGCCAGAATCTTTGAAAAATAGGGATAATAGATGCCACTTTCACAGCAGGCTGGAAAACAACTCTGATAATTATATATATAATCCTTAAAATATTATTTAAAACACTTACTACTAAAATAGTGGCTTTAAAAAATATTTTTACATGCTTAGACACATGCATAAATATTACATATAAAATATTAAAACATTAAATATTATTAAAAAAAAAGAACTAAATTAAAACAAATCAAGCTTTACTTCAGCCATTTTGTTTTTCAATTGAAGTTGAGCCTTTTCATATTCAAGTCGCATCCTAATGAATACAAAATATGAGAGCATTGTAAAAAATATATCAACAAATCACTGAACATTTGTGAAAATAATTTTTTTATAACACACCACTAAACACTTTACAAAACATTAAGTTTTATATAAGGTTACTTTTTATTGCTTTGTTCCAACTCTGCAATTTTCATCTTCATTCTTGACACTGTAGTTTGTAAACCACTTATTTCTTCATCCTGCAAATCTTTTTTGCTGTAAATATTTTAAAAAGTAATTAAAACTAAAAATAAATATATTAGGACATTCATATTTGGAAAATGTATACTTAGTAATATCTTCAACTCTCCTAATCAAGTCATTTTTTTGCGTCTGAAGCTTGTTCCTAAAATAAAATCAAGAAATATCTTTCTAAATCAGACTAAATTGTTACTATGATAATTATCATTAGAAAACTATTATTATTAACAATATTTTCAAAACCTTAAAAAAAATATTAGAATAGCTAAACTTAGACAAAATATGTTCGCATAAATCAAGTCAATAAACAAGAAGCTAAACCTTATATCAATAAGATCTTTGTTTTCATTCAATAAATGATCCATTTCCTTCCATCCACTTTGATCATTCATTAAATCAAAAATATCACTACTTTTAGGAGCAGAACTTGCAAGTGAATCTAATGATTGTTCTCTAAACTTCTGAGCACTTAATATATCAATTCTAGGAGTCTCATATACAGATTCTTCATCAGGTCTTGATTGATTTCTGTAGAGCTCAGGAGTGCTCTGCAATATTGCCAAGGCTCCAGGACTAAGCGTCATTTCAGCAGTTACAAAAGTATTTGAATTGTTGATTTTATCCTCATCATGGTTGTGATCAACTATTTGGTTGTTTAAATCACTCACAACAAGTTTTTTCTTTGGAGTAATGCTTAACTGAGAAGCTTCTAAAGAAAAATTTATTATCTTATTTTTTCAGTTGCATTTTTATCAATAAAACATCTTAAAATGAAAAATACCAGTATCAGTTTCTGTAATCTCATCTTCTAACGAAGTATCATTAAAATTCTCTACATAATGGTGTTCTACTGTGGGTAAACTTCCTTCGGATGAACTATTTAAGTTTGATTTAGGATCTTCATTATACACAGTACTATCTTGGGAATGTGTAACTGGTGCAATGTTTTGGGATGGTGGAGTGAACCTTTTAAGAAAATTAAATATATATATCAAAGATATTAAAACAGATTCAAACTTTTTAAAGAATTAAAGAAAAAAAAACAATTTTTCCAAATAATTTTGTTACTATACTTTGTTTTTTAATTTATTCTGTTTATTTATATTTAAAACAAAATGTAAGCTTTTAAAACCTAAGATAAGAAAAGTAATTTTAAAAAGTTATAATGGATAAAATATAGACAATAACCAATCCCAACACATCAGGACTGGCTTTTAGTTTGATAAAATGAAATATATCACACCTCAACCAAACAAGTTTTTAGTCTGACAAAATGACATAAATATGTAGGTTTATAACATAAATCTACAAGTGCCAATTTTGAGCCAACTATTTCCAATTATGTTTGTAATTAAAAATTTAACATTAGTGTTATTAGGGATTGTCCATAAATTATGTAACGCAAAATTTTACAATGAACAAAAAAAAAAATTCAAAAGTTTTCCCTTGCAGAGTCTTAATTTAAATAAATAATCAAAAAAGGAAGTTAAATGAAAATCGCCGCGTAAGAGTTTAATATCTCCTACTTCTGTTCTTAAAATATTTTTTGCGTTGCGTAATTTATGGACGATCCCTTAGTAAAATTTACTATTCAAATTCATTTAAATTTAAACCCTGGTCATGTAATTAAAAATAAGAAAAAATAATTAAATTAAAAAAAAAAAAATAGCAAAATGTTATATTTTACAATTCATTTTCAAACATAAAATATATAAATAAATAAAATATAGTATAATAATAACTCAGTTAATAAAAAAAACTAAAGAATATTTAAACTGTGTGATTTGATCTTTCTAATGTACACCACAATAACAAAATGGAAATCAGGAAACCACATCCAGCTGGATGTGGTCCATCCAGAGGGATGTGATTTTAGCATTCAAAAACTCAATAAGTATACTGACACACACAGACCTGAAGCTCCACAATAAACATGAGATCAGCACTCATTGATTATGCGCTCGGATTTAAAATCTCCCTTTATAGCACATCATTCCAGACCAGTATGGGGTCCTAGATCATTTGGATAAAAGTGGCATGGCATGTGACCTATAGTAACTGATTTCTGGTTCTGTTGTGCTTGACAGTAAACGCAATAAGTGAGTGTGTTTAATTTTTATTCATCTGATTTGAAAGTAGACCGAAACATAAAGAGACCATACCACAGGTCTTGTCATAAGAATAATATAACAAAAACATGTAACCCTAATAAATGTAACTTAAAGATAGCATTGATATTTAAAAGTTTAAACTATAATTATAAGATATTTATAATTATAAGATATTTAAAAATCATTAAAAGTTAAATTGCTTCACTAACATATTTAAAAGTACCATGTTGTAATTAAATTTAATTTTAAACTGCGTTAAAAATCAATTAAACTAATAAATAAATAAAACTAATAAAATCTAAATTTGGTATTTGAAAAAGATATTTCTTTATAATTTATTTCTTAAAGCAATCCTATACTTAACATATTCTTTTGCTTGTTTATCACAATTGAATTATTATATTTTTTAGGTAATTAATGTAATATTTTAAATAAAGATTATAAACAATTTATAGATAGATTTTATCAGTTACCAATAAAATATTCTTAAAATATAATTTATGTTCATAATTAAATTGTCAAAAGTACGCAATATTGAATTGATAAGAAACAAAAAATTTTAAATACATTTGGGAAAAGAATTCACTTAAACAAAAATACATTTCTCACTTATAAGAAAAAAAAAGCAAACAGAAAATTTTTTATTTCCTTTCTCATTTAATCTATGATGTTTTACATAATGAATTAGTCAACAGATAATAAGGGAAAAACTTCTTTAATAAGTATTGCAAAACTATTTTACATTCCTTTGAAACTAAATTTTACATTCTACGTTTTATTATTTTACATTCCTTCAAAATTAAATTTTAATTTTTAAAATCATTAAATTAAAGTCTTTTAACTAAAAAAAACTTTTTATAAAAAAAAATTACTTTTCTTTAAAAAATTCAGTTGCGGCTAAATGCTTTTTTTGACCTAAAATTTTCTGAATAAATATCACACAAAGTATTATTTACTAGATATTAAAAGATAACACTATGTAACACAATTTTTGTTCCTGGCTTCTAAGTGTTATATTTCAATTGCTTATGTCTAAAGTATGTGAAAAAATGATTTCATTATGCACAAACTTTGCTTATAGGACAACAGCACAAAGAAAAGTCATTTTTTTGTGAAAGAAGAACAATTTTTTTATTTTTATTATTATGATCTGGTAAAAACAAAAATTGCACAAGGAATAGACAGTCAGAAACTACTCAAGAAGGTTCAGAAACTTTTAGATTTTCTAGATTTATTGTACTGTGAATCACTATCTCGAAGTAGCCCCTAAATGTAGTCCCCCATCATGTTTTCATTATACTGTCGTTGGTAACTAATGCTTGGTAACAACGTTCAAAGTCCATATTGGACTTATGATAAAAATGCTCGACTTACTCTTCGGAGTAAGCACCCATGTTCTCCTTGAAATTGTCAAGATGTGAATCAAGTCAAGAGCAGTGACAAATTACTTAATAAAGAATAACTTGATATGCAGTGGTAGCATAAGCACTTTATGAGGTTCTACCACTTCATATTGCTCTTCCCAAGAGAAAACTTGGTCCATTGTGGCCAGTCCTTTGTGCAATAATGAGCCATAGTGTCATGGCTGTCCTAGAGACAGAGGAAACAAGGAAATTTCGTGAAACCTTCGTGAAGACCCATGAAGAATGATACCATTTCGATGTTACTGATAACCTCTCATCCGTAGTTGTCATATTTTAATGCACTCAGCAACATTTTTCACACTGGTGTAGTCCTTTTTGATATGCACAGAGTGGGCCATCAGGAGAGGCGGGTAGTTTTTACATTGTGAAGCAACACAGCTTTGAGGATTCGAGATGAACTGTCTATTTTATTTCATCTCGGCCATCAAATAGGATTACATGTGATACCTATAGCCTGGTATCTCTGCATGTTCTAAAATCATCAAATACTGCCTGATAATTACATCCTCATCACCATGGACATTACCTCCCTATACATAACATGATGGTTAAAAGTTGTCATTTTTTACAACACACCACATGACCTACAGCCATCTGATTCACCATCTTCAGCATATATACAGATTATGATTGACACTTCTTACAAACGCAACATTCTGATTTGACAGTGGTAACTATCTACAAATGACAGGATCCCAGATGGGTACACGCACTACTAGATAATTTGAACATAGCATCACCTACTAAAAATTCATAGATAAATAATATTACTCTACATCCCACTAATAAATTCACATTCAACCACTCAGATACCTCCATTGATATTATGGAAACTCTACAAAAACGATCTTGGATAAATACGGAATCCACAAGACCAAAAACTCACTGAGAGAATGAGCCTCATACATTTCAGTTCGTACCACCCACATCACACAACATCAGACCTCATCCATAGCTAAGTGATGAGATACAATAAGCTTATATCCAACTCTCGCCACCTATCCAGGCAACTCCGCACATTAGCGCACCAATTGGTCCTAAAGGGGTACCATCTTTACATCATCAATAGAAACATTTCTAAAGCCCTACAACATACACAGAAAGACCTAGTCAACAAAACCAAAATACATGATGACAACCACATCTTAAATTGAACAAAGAAAACAAAACAATAACATTATTCTAAATAAGTGGCACTTGATCTACAACAATAGAGAACTCTTCACACTGTTCCTACCAACACCCATCCTTACAAAAACTAACACACTTTCCCTGAGAGGGAAAATGTGTTAATGTTTTTCTGTACTAGATATATTGCTAATCATACTAACTGGACATCCACTGCTTTTTCTGTTTAAGGCCCTATTCAGCAGGTAGGACATGCCTCTGCCCCTTACCTGTGTGTTATGATTTTGTATTTTAAATATTGCCATGTAGGAAATATACTACCAATATTTTTTATATTAGTTACTTTACTATATATATTCAAGCCTCCCCAGGAAACATGTGCGTTTTTTTGTCTTGTATGTCCAGGCATGAGTATTATATTTTAGACAACTTGGTCATGGCCGTTTGAAAGTTTTTTTAATATTAAGCATTGCGGAAAAAACTAAGTTTCAAATACAAAGAAAACAAAACTAACAAAATAGAAATTAAAATAAATTAAAATAGATAAAAAAAAATATATATATATATAATTTTTTTTTTTTAAAGAGAAAAGCTAAAATATAAATTGCTATCTGTTTGTAAAATTTATTTGTATAACTTTAATGCAACAAGTATATATTATCCCTATATGAATGTGTCTATGTAATCCATGCGTATACTTTTATGTATAACTTTTTTTATTATACAATTAAATTTATTTGTGTCTACGTATGTGCTCGCTTACCTTATTTGGATAAGTGTTTACTTTGTGCTTAAAATATCCGTGGTTCAAATCCCACCACTTCTCAAATATTTCAGTTTTTTTAACTGCCTCCTTTTTTTTGGTCTACTATGTTATTGGTGAAATATATGTAAACAATTATTAATAATTATTATTAATAATTGCATAATAATTCATTATTATTATTAACAATTGTTCACAAATAACCGGAGGCAGAAAGAACTATGTGCACAGAGCCATATTAAAAAAAAAATCCAAAATTAATCCAAAATTACAAAGCGCTTAGAGATTGCAGATAAAAAAGGTACAGGAATAGAAAGGTAATATGAAACAATTAAGGCTAAGTGAAAAATGTGTAGGCTGCATGGCCTAATTAAAGCATAAAAGCTATGTATATATGTGTGTGCCTTTCTTAAAAAATACACTGAAAGTCTTAAATGGTATAAGAAGTCTGAATGTGGGGGGGGGGGGGGGGGGGATCTGTATCATTCAAAAAAATACAACAAAAGGATTTTTTATTTCAAAAATGAATACATAAATGGTTACAGAGTTAATATATGAGTAGTGGTATTTAAAAGATAATCAATTCAAATAATGGATCACTTTAGGATTCAATCCACGGACATTCCGTGTACAATGTAATGCTTTATTCAAATAAACTAAACATACTTTAAAACAATAAACGTAATTATATAATAAAAAGATTATACAGTATAGACATGCATAGATGTTTTCATATATTAGAACAATATTACATTCAAAAAACTTATTACATTAAAATTATAAAAACAATAATAATATAGTTAAAAATATAAAATTAAATATAATAAAAAATAAAAAATAATATAATTAAAATTATAAAAACAAATAAATATAATTACATAGATGTATTCATATATAAGAACAATTACTTATTACATTAAAATTATACAAATATATTTTACAAACAGATAGCTATTCATATTTTCCCTTTCCTTTTTTTTAAAAAAAAAGTATTAATAGAAAAATCATTCTTTTTTATGTCAACTTTAAACTTTTTTTTTTTTTTGCTTAGCCTTATCCAGTTTCTTTGTTAAAAACAACAATTATTAAAATTACTTTTTTTTTTTTAATATCTTTTCTATTTAAATTTATTTTAATTTCCTATTTTGATATTTCCGCAACGCTGTAAAACTGCAAATGGCTGTGACCAAGTTGTCTAAAATAAAATTCTCACGCGTAGGCATACAAGACAAACATATAGTACCATTTTTTATATATTAATAAGTACCATTTACTACATATTTACCTAATAAGTATATATACCATGTTATGTAGTAAAAGTCTTTTAAAATAGTTTATGTGGAAAACATTAAGCAATAAATAATTGTGGTAAAAAACATTTGTGATATATATTTTTTTTATTAGATTTTTTTGTAGTAAATAATTTCAATTTTCAAAAGATATTTTTTAGTAGCTAGAAATATACTTAAACATAAAAATTCCATAACTGAAAAATGCTGAAGAAATTAAACTTCTTTGATACAATTAGTATATTCAGAAAATAACACTTAATAAATTAATTACTAATACCTATAAAATTGAACTCATTACTATAAAAATTACCAATAAAATATTTAAAAAAAAAAAATTATTTAATTTAAACATTAAATTTTTAATTTACAAGTGTTAAAAAAATGGTAAGTTTGATTGATTTTTGTTATACTACATATAATTTTAAACTAAATAATAAAATTTATATCAGAAAAGGAAGATGAAAAAAATACTTTAAAAATTTTGAAGCAAGATCTGGCGTTGAAGGTGAACATTTGGTTTGTATATCAATTTTTTCCATATATGCATGCAGCATCTTAATAAAAATTTGGAATATAAAAATTTTTTTTAAAAAAAGTAATTTTTTTTAAGATATATTAATAAAATCTGTTAAAAACCTCTGTGTGCCTTGTGTGAAGAGTGTCATATTCCCTTTTTTGCTCCACTAAACGCTCTTCTGTTCTTTCAACTGAAAAAATAAAAAACCTATACCAATCTATACAAAATTGAATTAAAAAAAACAACAACTTAAAGATACTTTAAATATACAAAATTTATACTGTTATATATGAATTTATTTGAACAAGAAAATTTGAACAAGCAAAAAAGATTTTACAGTATAATACTTTTCCATTTTTTTAAGAAAACTGATAGATCCTTCTTAAATATACTTTATGTCGACTATAAACATTTTAAAAACAGAAGAAATGCAAAACATAGATTCAAAAAGTGTAAATAAGTAAGTTTGTGAAAACTGTTATTAGAATAACAAAAAGAACAATACGACAAGTTGAGATTTAAATTCTGAATGGCTGACCACAGCCTGTATAAC